TTCTTCACAAATTATTAGACCCTGAGTCTATTTATTCAGAGAGTAGCTGCCCTAAATCAGTGACAATCACATTGTCATTAAAATAAATTCGGTACTGTATTTTTTTACAGCTCTATTAACTTTACCATTTGACTTTCTACTTTGTAAAAGAAGAAAAATGAAAATTGAGAACTGTGAGTATATTGTTTGTTAAGTGGATGCCAACCAGATTAAAATCCCATCAACAGTAGTGGAGGCAACAGAAATAAAGTGACAGATTTAAAATGCTGCTGTCCATTTAAGTGTCAAATAGAGTTAAGTGTTTTGCTGAATTCTTAAAATGGTTTGGCTCCATAGTACCTAGCATAATCAGCACTGAAAATTGGAACATAATTTTGTCTTGATATGTGGAGAAAGGTATGTGCACTTGAGGACTGAACGAATTGCTACTGAAAGTGGTATGTTAAAAATGCCTTTCATTAATGAAGACAAAATTAGTTATTTGAATGTATTTATTAGGCAGAATTGAATTCATTCATTCATTCATTCATTTATCAGACTTTCATTGAGTATCTTTTATGGACCTGACTGTGTTAGGGGCAGAGGATACAAAGTCAAATAATGTGCTGTCTCTGCTGTCTTGGAGCTTTCACTCCAATGACATGTATTCACTTTTTCAAAATGTTTTGTTAATTTAGTTAACGCTGATTGGATTTCTTACAAACCAAGTTTTCTCTGAATTTTTTTTGGTATATATTTTCTTAATATCTGCTTTAAATATCTCTGCTTCTATTTTGGAATACAAAAATAAAAAGCAAAGCAAAACGGAACAGCAAATACCACCAAGCCATGCTACTACACTAGGAGTCTGCAAAATAAGGAAATCTTCTTAGCTCTGAAAAGAAGAAAAAACTTCTCTTCCATGTTAAAGACTGTACCTTTCCTTCTAGAGTGGTTCTTTGGGTTAGAAGTTCATTGATATCCTCATGCCACCTGCAAAATCTGGCACAATGTTAATATAGTAATACATTTCACACTTTTAGCTGTAGGTATACAATTTTACAGCACATTATTGTACAGGTTTAAATAAGAAGAATTTAATCTCTAAATGAGAACCATTACAACCCTTCCCAAATTGTAAATATTACTGTTTAAAGAAAGAAAATAGTCTATTAAAATGCATTGAAATCACCAATGTCAACTTTCAACTTTTCTGGCTCAGTTTTACCTGTATTTAATATTATAAGTTCTAATCTTATTGAACACTCTTGGGATTATGTATGCGGCTTAATAAATATGGGGATTCACAGGCCGATTCATTTATGCAACAAATATTCTGCAAGCATTTATCATGTACAGGTTGTTGTTCATGTGGCTGCAGCTACGTGTGTGAACAAGACAATCAAAGCTCCTTCCTTGAAGGAGCTCACATTCCAGGGGTAACTAGCCAAGAGTTCAGGTGGGGAAAATCCTGATGATTTTGTCCCACAGAATGAACTATCTATCTTCAGGAAATGAAACACTGCAGTGTGGGACTTAAAAACACATACATTTACTCTTTTAACTGATATTTAGTATGTACCTACTATGTCTACAGCATTGTTCTAGGCATTGGATCTTCCCTTAATATTCAGATTTAGGAGATCTTGAATGGATCCTAGGAATTTATCTTTTTTGTAAGCAATCTGCGTAAATTTATAATCACACAAATTTTTTGAAATGACCACCTTAATCAGTTCCTTTTGAATGTAAGTGATCTTAGCTAGGTTTGTAATAAGAACTACATGGCAGAAAATTCAGTGGGTAGCAACAGCAAGCACACTATGATGATGGCTTCTGTTCTGTGCTGCTGACTGATAGAAGACTGTTGCAATCTTAATGAGACAAAATTGATGGCCAACATGGTATTTCAGGGGAAACATTGAAGAGCTTCTTATTTTCTTGCTGGAATGAAAACTCACCCTACTTAAAAAGAAGCTGTGCAGGAATGCCTCCTTTGCAGCCAAGGCTTTTCTCAAAAATGCAACTCTGGTTCTACTCAAAGGCTTAAATAAGCACTTGTTTGAAAGTGTATAATTAGACGCCATAAAACTGGATGAGATTGGTCTGCAGTATTTTGAGGACCAGATTTTAATGTGGCTCCTGAACCAGGTTTAAATTTTTCCAATGAAAAAAAAATCCAACCATGAGCAATTTAGTAGGAGAAATTGGAGTAGGGTTTGAGAGGGTAGGCCGCAGGCTAACGCGATGCTGGGGTTTGGGGAAACAAGGGAGCTCTCCCTTGTGATAATATGTAAATTTCATACTGGTGCCCTCCTGCAGCTACTATATCTTTTGCTTCACCACTCAGGGCAAAATTTAAAGAATTTAGCCACAGTGTATCCAAATATTGGGAGGTGGTAGAAAGGATGGGAGGGGGAGCGAATAGCCCAGAAATAGCTACCTCAATGTGTGACAAGTGCATTTACAATTTTTCTTAGGATCTTGCCTGCTGCCTAATATTACAGGACACTTGACAGAGTCACTTTGGGAAGGAAGAGGGATGATAGTGTGAAAAATTAAAGGTGTTAAATCAACCACAGTTATAGAGTTCCC